TTAGCCTGCCTTATGATTTTTCTTAACAATGATTTGTATTTTGTAAAGTAGAGGAGGAAATCCTGGGATACGTTATGACGCTTAGAAATGAAATAAAGAATTCGTTTGGTTTTACATGACGCAGTAATTCCTTGCGTTATCCAAGAATTGCTTTTAGGTGAAATATTTATTTTTTTTTATGAAGAGGAAAGCAACTATTAAAATGAAATGAAAGCGTTGACAACTTTCCCCGTGATTCTGCATTGTTGAGCGAAAACTGAATTTCGATATCGTGAATAGTTTGGAAGTGATGAGGATGGCTCGTAAATGGTGGGTAAACGGTATAGGAAAAATATTTATCCACGTTTTCATTACCAGGGCAATAATAGGTTTTCTGTCGAAAATTTGTCGTTTTCCGGCGCATGATTACAATATTTTGTCTTCTTACGAAGGGAGAGAAAAATTAATTAATAATGTGAATAAAAATTGAACTTTAAGATTACAAAATAAACATTAAAATTAATTAGCAATTAGTAGTAAGTTAGTTATCGAAATGAAATTGAAGATAATGCTTTAATTATATTGCTGGTGAGATACCTTTTTATTATGATAAAAAAATAAAGATGTTGTCTGGTATCAATACTTTTTATTCAGCTTATGATCGATATTATGCATAGCGATCATCCTCAGAGCTAAAATTTGAAATATAAATATTATTAACAGGTTATATATATATATATATATATATATATATATAATATATATATATATATAATATACATATATAGTACGGAGTTGCTCCTACAGCTGTCGCGTTTCTCCGCTCTCAGTTTCCATGCCTCTCTATTGGACTAGATCATCTGGCATTTCTCTTGCCGTCATAGCCTCTTGCACTCCCGCTGCCATGCAAGTCTGGGTCTCTCTCTTCTGTCTTGTTTGTGGCACCCGATTTCAGGACTCGTTTTGCCCATCTTTGACTGTCATTCGCATAACATGACCGTACCAGACGATTTGTTTTTTCTCTATTTCGTCAAGGATAGATTTCTTGACATCCATTTTCTTTCTGATGCCGTCGTTCCTGATTCTGTCACGTCTGCTATAACAGCAACTTCTTACGCCAGTAGTCCATTTCAAGTGCCAGCAGCTTCTGTTTTGTTCTTTTATCGATCTCCCAAACTTCTGACCGTATGTTGTAACACTCTAACTGGCGAGGAGTAAGACGTCTTTTAGTATTGTTAGTGATGGTTTTTGTTCATAAGACACAGTTTTTACTTCGTGTAACGTTTCTAAAAGCTTATTCGTCTCTCAATTTCGTCATGCTATTTCCTTTATTGTTAAAAAGTACACGCAAGGTATTATATTTGTTTACCCTTTCATTTTTCCTCCATTTTTCACAAGAAGATCTTCTATTTCATTTTTTACCAACTGCCAGGCATTCAGATTTGTCCATATTAATATTAAGTCCTGCTTTTAAAAAGTGTTCATTGAGTTTAAGGATCATGAAACTCAAATCGTCTGCATTTTCTGCAATTACTACCTGGTCATCAGCAAAATATAACGTAAAACAATTTTCACTCTCCCGATGTCATTCTCATTACTCTGCAATTTTCTCCACTGCTGTAAAATTTGATGCAGATATATTTTTTAACAGTGTTGGGAAAGACAGCAACCCTGACGAAGACCTTTGCTGACTGGGAATAGATCCGAGAGCCTGCTGTAGATCTCAATCTGAGAGGTGTTATTCTATATAGAGTTCTGTGTGGCGCCAATTAAGTTTTCACTGATTTGAAGTCCATCCATTTCTTCCATACTCTAGCAACCGGTACATTGTCATACGCCTTCTGAAGATCAACATGAAACCCATATGAACTTCCCTACCACTCCTAATTCTCTTTTCTAAAAGTTGTTTTAATGTAAATATATTGTCTATGACCGACCTGCCGGCAGTAAAACACATTGTTCCTCTCTATTTTTCCTTTTATCTCTTCTTCTATTTTATTTCGTATTATTTTGCTATACAGTCTACCTATAGATCCAATAACTGCTATTCCGCTGTAATCTGTTTCATTGTCTCTAGATCCTTTCTTATGGATGTTATAGTTATAACCTGTTAATAATATTTGTATTTCAAAATAACTATAACCTGTTAATTACAAAGAAATTTCTATACTATTAACACTTCAATCATCACTTGAAATTTTTGTAGATAATCAACGAATGAGATGTTGGGAAAAATATATCTATAATTTATTTAAAAATTCAAAAATTTCAATTAAAAAGGCTTTCTATCATTGAATTCAATGCATTTTGCTCTATTCTTAGAATACAGTTTCAAGAAAAAAGTATTTATCCGTACTGGAATTTGAAGCCGATCATGACGGTTGATATGCCAGTGGATTTCTTCCAAGCTTTAATACAAATATGTTTGCGAAATATTTCTTATGAAAGAGGCCTTTTTGGACATTTGTTGCTTCTTGATGGAGTGATAATGGAGCTATTAATATGAAAAACAATGAAAACATCCATTGGGAAGACGTAGGCGCGGAGACGAACTTGATGGCTGCATAAAACCAACTAAGAAACAATGTTTATTCATATTGTAACGATTCTCCCAGGTAAATTAAAACACACACAGGTAATATTAAACAAAAACGTTTATTTGTAAACAATGCTCCACTAAAATACTTGATTTATTTACAGATATATTACACAGTCCTTGTGTTCTTCACTTGATTATTTTCCTTACATACGACTTCGTTCTCTCCATTATTTATTTACACTGTACACTGCAATCTGGTTATTTATTTACACTGTTCACTTCTTCTACACTATTGCACAGTCCGATGCACTGTCCACGGTCCACTGCGCTGACCACAATTCACTGGGCAGTCCACAATTCACTGCGCAAACCAGGGTCCACTGCACTGCTGTTTACTGCGATGCACACTTCACGGCTCAGTTTCCACTGCAGACTTCAAACTGCTGACTGCTGTTCACCCACTGCACCATTGTTAACCGCAAATCACACTTCACAGCTCAGCTTCGACTTCAGACAGACTGCTGCATACTCACACTGACGGACTGACTGCTTACTACTTCTACTTCCAGCGGTCGCCGGCAGCGGCGAATTTATACCTGGCCGGCGCACGTCTCAACACACCCGGCACTTTCTCCACCTTTCCACGCGACTCGCGAATAGCCCGGAACCGTCCAGTGCGGGTGGGGGGGGCGCCGGCAGATGACGCAATCCGCGCAGCGAATTCCGGCAGGTGATGCAATATTCGTTTCAATATTTTGAATCATGGACCCACAAAAACAATTCCAGGTCGAAAAATCACCTTTGTTGCTGCAACTTTATAATACTTCCTCTCTACTGTGTAAGTAGTGTGTGAGAAAGTAAAATTCTGACAAATCTAGATTTCTTCAAACGATACAGACAATCTACAGGTTGTCAATTGAATATTGCAAAAATAACAATGAATTGGAGTTTTAGGTTGAATCATATTTCAGCTATGTTCAGAAATTACACAAAAATTCCCCGAAAGGAAATATCATCGAGAATTTTTGAAGAACAGTTAATAATTGTCAGTAGAACTCACTGTGGAAATAAACATTAGCAAATGAAGAGATTGTTTAATGAAAGGCGTTATTACGAAGGTTCAACTTCCAACTTATACGACAAGCCACTGAAGATCTTGCGATTGCAAATACAGCACAAGATCTGCCCGTATGTCTATGATCAAAGCTAGCGCCTGAACCATTCAGACAATTTTATCAAACCTGATACTACCTGATTGATTTGGACGAACTCGAGGCCCAGCAGGTTTGAAACGGATATTTTGATATTGGGAGGTAATTTACTTGAATCCTTAAAATCATTTTCAAACACTACTCCAAATATATTAAACTTTTCCACCAATAGTGTAAAGAACGCTTAAAAATGGAGCAAGTCTAATTTTTATTGAACATTTAATTTTAGAATATTGCAAAAATTCAAAATATTTTCGGCGTCCTCCTTCAACTACAATATTCAAGACAGATTTTTTCCTTAATGCAATCTGCTTTTTAAATACATCTTTAAATTAAATCTTGTGTTATATTTTCGCCCTTACGAGGGTACTTTTTATTTATAAAATCTGATTCAAAATATTAGATCTTTAAATATGGCCACGTTCAATTTTGTGAATAAACTAATAGTTTCCGCGTATTTTTTCTTGAATTAAATTTTATTTATATTTTTTGAAAACAGGGAGCAATTTTGTAAAAAAAATAAAACTTTCTCTTTTGATAGAGCGAAGGACGCTTGAAAAACGAGGCAGGACAAATATTGTGAGTAAGTATGTGCTGTTGTAACCGTAAAAGTTTCCATCGTTGCAATTGCTTTCATTTTTCATTTTTCCTACTATCCTGAACAAACTTTTGAATTTATTCCTAAAATTGAATCTTTTAAATTTGTTAATATTATTGCTTCAATACAGTTTTGATTGCATTCTAATGAAATAATAATAATAATAATAATTATTATTATTAATTATTAATTATAATTATTAATATTAATAATTATTATTATTATATTTGTGCTCACGAATAGGCCGACTTGGACCAAGCGTGTATGCACTCTATATTTACTGGGGCTCAGAAACACTATCTCAGAGGCAGGAACATATAATTTTTTTTAAGGCTTCAGCATTTAGAAGGTTCCAATTTTCATACCCTAGGTTTGTTAGCCCTGGGGTTATGGAGGATGAAATGATAATGATAGTGACGGGTGGGAGGACGATACATACATGCAGACAAACACAAGTATACTCACGCTCGAGACGGGACACGAACTCGAAACCTTAGCGATCTCGGCCATCTGACCGGCTTATTATTATTATTATTATTATTATTATTAATTATTGTTGTTACTATTTTTGCTATTTATAATATATGTGTTATTACTAACAGGCTCTTGATTTCAAAGGCTCCGAACTCCGCAATAATATAATAATTGTATGTGTTATTGTTTTGTTTCAGGCATGTATATCCTGCCAACAATATGGACTATTGCATTAACCATCTTGTCTGTTTGCGACATTCATGAAACCTCTGCTAAAGATGATCCACGATGTCCCTCTGTCTGCAAATGCTACCCATGGCCTCCACGAGTTCATCCGGCTAAAATGGCAGCAAATTGTTCCGGGCGGGCGCTCAAAGCACTCCCAGCTCACTTTCAGCGCCATTTCGCATCTCTGGACGCATCATTTAACGACATTGAAGAGCTCTCGAACGATTTCTTTGGCGATGCAAAGATGGTGCTTAGTAAAATAAATCTCAGCAATAATAGCATTCACACAATTGATAGTAGAGCTTTCTCAATGCTTCCAGATCTGTGGATAATGAATTTGACTGGAAACAAAATACGGCATCTGCATCAAGACACTTTTAAAGTCAACACAAAACTTTGGTATCTTATACTCAGAGGAAATACCATCAATTTTAATCAATCGACATTTTTAAATGCTCCGCAGATAGGGAAATTAGATCTTAGTTACAATAATCTACATGAACTGGGAGACAATACATTCAACGAAATGCCTAATATAGTTTATTTACGTTTGCATAATAATCAATTTAAAAAGCTTCAGAGTTCATGGTTTCGTCCATTACGGAAATTAGAACGTCTGTTTCTGGAGCACAATCAATTAACAGTTCTAGACGTAAATACATTCATACACTCACCTAAATTGTTTGAATTGAGTTTAAGCTGGAATAAATTGTTATTACCGTATCACACACCTTTCTTAAGACTTCCAAATCTTGAGTACCTTCATTTGTCAGGATGTGGCTTCGGGAATATTCCGTCTCATATATTTGAATTTACCCCTCGAGTGCGTATGTTATGGTTGAGTTCAAACAGACTAAGTGCTTTGCCTCTAGATATTTTTAATTACTTGGAGTCGTTAATTTTCTTGGATGCCTGTGACAATAACTTACTCTGCTCCTGTGAATTGAAGGAAGTCTGGGACTTGTGTCGCTACCGTCATATTGCTGCAGACGTGAGCTGTGATGTGCACCTATTGGATGGCACGGGTGAGGGAGAGGGAGAGGGGGAGGCGCAAAACCAGACGGCCACCGCGGCTGGTGCTGGTGGTTGCTTCGGTCGCTGGGACGCCTTGGAAGAGATGGTGTGCAACGCCACCGACAGACCTTCGCTTCCCGCGCCCTCCAAGGACACTAGCGTGGAGCAGCTGGCCCTATACGTCTCCATCGGGGTGGTGCTGCTGCTGTCGTTGTGCATCGTGGGCAGCGTCACCCTGTATTGTCGCAAGTACAAGTCTGGCTGGACGAGCACCGTCCGGGGCGCTCACAATCTAACGTATCCTGACATGATGCCGTTGAACATCGACCGAGAAGAAGCGACGTGAAACAATTTCTCACCGAGTCAGGGAAAATCAGCAATTCAATACACGAGGAGTATGATATCGTAAAAATTGCAAATCGTCGTTGCGGCTGTGAAGTAAATGTCACTTTTTACCCAAGAGACCAGAACAGTCTCAAATAATATTTTTTTGTATCATGCGTGTTAGTACACAATTATCTGACTTATAATTATGATACAATTAAAGCACAACTTATATGTACAAATCTAAAAACATTTGCTCCTTAAAATGTACAGAACTTTTTCTCGTAAAAAGTGCACATAACCGATTTAGCAGGCGCAACGACACAATTTTCTGTTATTCTAATGAAAAACTCGTATTCATGCTCTTGAAGAATAGTGAATTACATCTGAGTGGTGATTCTTTTTAACATTACGTGAACAAAATGTGAAATTTCTCTATTGAAATTACGATTGTGATTAATTTGATACTCACTTTTGTCAAATTGAAAGATGTACTTATCAAATATTCGTAATTTACATAAAATTTCATCTATGAATCAAGTTTTATGTATTTTGTATTTGATTTTGAATGAAGAATTTTATAAATTGGTTTCAACGATTATTTTTAGATGGTGAATTGTCATTTTATATAAAGTGTAACGTAAATTAGAGTGAAAGGTTGGACATACATATTGTATTAAGCAACATGACCTTCAAACTCAAAAAATCAGCCCTATATTTTAAAAACACCTAACGAATGTGGTTGCATGGAGTACAACAGAGGGAGTACCAGAGAATGTGGAAAAACATCCGCATCATAATCTACGTCTTCCAAACATTTTTTGTCTTTATACTTTCTTAAGAAACTTCTAATGACACAACACAAAACGAAATCAAGGAAAGAAGTCGCCATTCAAACATATTCCTGCCACTAGCAAACATGTTTATAAAGGGAGAATTTAGTAAGAAAATAAAAATCAAATAGTAATAATTAGTGAAGAATATAAACATAATACAATTCTTGTGTATTTGATAGAACAAATCTGACCAACATATTTTAGTATGAAGCCTCTTTTCACCGCCTCGCGCCGCTTCAGCTTGGGCATGTACACCCCTTTGTGCATTTTAAGGGGAAATAAGTGCGTAGTCAGGGGAAGTTGCCCGTGCCGCCCAGAAGGAGCGCCGGGCTACCCAGGTGGGTAAGTAGTTCGTGCTGGCGCGGTTTGACATGCCTGCTTTAATAACACATCAACCACGCAGAAATCTGTAGATTTATTCCGTATCGTGTCCAGTCAATACAACCGCCCTTCATTCGAAAGCTTGTGTTCTAGTATGTTCGAAGTGACCTCCATTAACGTAACTGGATCCCAGTGTGAGACCAACGGTAAGTTTCAGTGATACTGAAAAAGTTCTTGAAGTGAGTGCTTCGATCCGCGCCCTTGCGAAGGCGTCTCGTGGCGCACCAGCGTGACATTCGAAGTTGTTAAACATCTTTGGAAATTAGGACCGGGGAACAGTTCGTCAAAATAATAACAGAGCTTGTTACCATAATTGTGTGTATCTACGTAACGTGGTTTCTTAAAAAAGTGTTAAGACCACACTTGTTTAGAACGCGTAGATTATGATCCCGGTACTTTTTCCACTTGGTCTGGGACACCTTGCAGGCAAGTAAGGTCTGCTACTTTTGAGCCTACATCTTTGCTAGTTTTCCAACACGTTGGAAGTTTGTTTGGGTATAGGAAATAAGCAATAAGGTAAGTTCAGGAATCAGCTTCTGGAAGTATGGAGGAGAGAGAAAGTATGATTCGTGGCTGTCTGGGATGATCCGCGTCTCGACCTTTCGGCCATCGTGATGTGGCCTTCTTCAAAGCTGTACTGCTGCCGAGTGGCAAGCATGTCGCATTAATATAGGAGAGGGTGCATGGGCCGATTGGCCGCATCGGCGACCAATAGCAGAAGGGCAGGTGGCCCAAGATTGGCGGAGAGGGATACGAGCGATTCTGGGAGACCAAATAAAGTATGGGGAAGCAGGTGGGACGGAATGGGAAGAGGATAGAAAACTGCACAGGTTGGACATCCACAATATGAATCTGCGTGATTCGGGGACGGAAGGAAATTACAAAAGAAAACTGGCCAATACGCGGCCACGTCATTGGCCGTCCGCGATGTGTCTCAGCAGGGTGGGACCGTATTGGGAGGGAGCGACGGCCCGTCTCCAGGTATTTCTAAGTCGAAGCCAATCATCTCTGTTAAGGTTTCTCTCTCGAGAGAAAGTTACTTTGTTACAGTGTGTAAGCAAATGGTCCCCATTGGGTGTAAAAGGTGTACACTTAAATATAGCGATTCTCAAACTGTGCACCGCAAAACATTTGTTAAAGACTGTCTGAAGTATCTGGCGTTGCATTTATTTATTATAACATTTATCTAGTAGAGAAAGAAAGGAAAGAATAATTCACGGTGCTCCCCACGTCATCTAATGTAAAGTGGAAGTTATTTTACTGTAAACCAAATCATCACCATGCCCCTCCTTCCCATGCCTCTCCCTTCACGCCCCCGTCCTGCATTTCATTGTCATGCACTCAGCCATGTTGAGCAACTTTTATTAAGTAGTAGCTGTAAACAATTTTCAACACTTTGTGTACATGTATTACAGGAAGCAAACTTTATAGTACATAATACTGTTGGGTATTGGAAATTGAGAGTTGTATATTATTGAGGAGGTTTGAGGACGAACAATTATAAAAAGCATAGACGTAGCTGAAAATAATAAGTGGCAAGAAAAGCGGAAGAGTAAGGCATAAGGAGAAATGTGCGAACAAAAACAAATATATTTCATGGTAGATACATTGTTTCTTTTGGAACCATGAATGTTTAGCTTATGTGCTGTAATTTTAGAACAACTTTTTTTTGAAATAAGCTCCAACACCTGAATACTATGTACAATAATTACAATAAATAATATTGACCCGTTACTAGAAGAAATGTTCCTGGTCACCACCACCGCTGACCTGATAATTATATATCTTATTAGGTGTGATGCACCAGTAGCCTACGTGAGCATACAAGCAAGTATGCCGCACCTCCCGCCTCGACGTAGCACGCCGGCTTCAGTTTCCTGCCTCAGTAGCCTATGCATTGAAATGCAGCGCCGCGCACATCCCACACGACTTCCTACCGACGCGCCCAAGAATCAGAAGAAGGAGTTTAGGTCCGGGGTCCGTTTATATTACCTTCTGGGCCGGCTGACGGAACTGCGTCATCACTCTGTTTCCGCCGACGCGTTTACGCAGATAGCCTGTCTACGGAGTTCCCAAGTTTGCCGTAAGTGGTCTATGAGGTTCACAAGTGGCCCCCCACGACACGGCACCCCTTCCCTTCCGCTTCCTAGGTTTGACATTGTTCAGTCCGGCGTCTTTTCCAGCTAGCGCTGTCCATGAACATGAAATGCACGTGGCTCATATTTGGTACGTTTGTACAAGGCGACTGATATGGCGCCACAATATCATCACCCTTGGGAGACTATAAGGGGAATACAGGATGCGAGAGGGAATTGTGAATTGGTTTACCGTGTAAGTGAGAATATTGCAAGGGGTGATCGGCAAGCAAAGAAGCAGACAGCAAGGATTGGGTCCTACATTTACAGTTATACGAACTGTACCAAAAAATGGAGAATTAAAATTAACCCCTTAAAATCACAATCCAAAATATTCATTCTCAGAAGTCCTCCCTTCCCTACACCGCTGAGAATAAATAACACCTATGTACCCTGGCTTTCTCATTCTTCGCCAGCCAAATACCTAGGTGTCCTACTGGACAAACGACTAACGTGGAAACCGCACATTCAATCAACTGCCCATAAGACACGTGTCAAATTTCTAAAGCTATACCCGTTTATCAACAGAAATTCTACCCACAGTATAGAAACTGAGTTACTCACCTATAAAATGATAATAAAACCTGCAATGACATACGCATGTCCAATATGGCGCAATATAGCACCAACCAATCTATCCATTTTACAGACAATCCAAAACAAACCTCTAAAAAATATTACTCTCTCCTCGAAGCATGCCCCAACACTCCAATATTCAATCTCGGCCAAAATTCACATTATCCATCACGCATTAGATCCAGATTCCCCAAAGATCTCTTTCGCCCACCCTAATTCATTAAATTATTTGCCCCTTTTCCCACAAGCACTCTCCCTCTCTAAACCACAAATGCAAACTTCTCTTAGTCAAGATATCCAAGTATAAATGTTTCAAAAAATAGTGAATGGTTATTCCGAGACTCGCATTTACCTGAGGATGCCCAAGTTAAGTCATTGTATGTAACACTGTATCCGTCAAAACCCAACAAAAGTAGTACGGGAAGAAAACAAATGTTTAAAAATAAAATTAAAAAAAGCAAGGATTGGAAGAATTTATAAGAAGGGGAATAGTATTGGTAAAGGGGGAGGCAGAGTGAGAGAAGAAGAGTGAGGAATAGGGGAACAAGGAGGAAAGGGGCTGGGCATGAATTATGTAAGAAGACATTTTTGATCAAATCAATAGCCCATTCCCTACGTAAGATATCCCCTGCCCTAAGGTAGTTTTACAGGTACCCGTATGCATACCTCTTCTCCTTTGTTTCCTTTTGTGAGGTATACTAGTGATGCTAAACAGCACATACCTTCTCGCATTACTTGTAACGGTTGCAAATTATTGTGATATTTTTGAACTCACAAAAGTACTTCATACCTGCAAAAATGTTTGGCCATGCTGGGTTTGGAATTCAAGTACCTACATTTCTCAGGCTATGAATTTAACCACTACACTAACAGGCACAGTTGTCAAAGCAGCGTTCTCGGCGCTTAAAAAAAGAAAATTGAACATCTGAAAATTCAGACATTCATGTCCTGTTTGTTTCTTTCAATCAATTCATACTGTTGTGTGAATTTGAAATAAAAAAACTGGAAATAACATCAAGATGTAGGGAAAACTGTTGTACCGAGGGAACTTTTCATGTTTTAATTTTTCTCTCTCTTGTTTTCGATGTGAAATTGTTGATATTCATACTTTTGGAATGCCGCTCATCTGAGCATATTTATGTGTAATAATAATAGTTTCAAGAACATTCTATAAGATTCTTTTTGAGATAACTTGTTTGTTTTCAATGTGTCATTAGGTACATCGTACTGAGGACTGATGTTCCTGGAGATAATGTAGGGAAAGTAAAAAAAATCTCAACTGTACATTCTTTTTCATGGAGAGAATATTAAACTAGCATTTATTTAACAAAATTATCTTTAATCTAGATTGCAATAAATAGTGTGTAAAGGTAAAATTTTTTTTTCTGCCGGTAATTACAAACAGATTATTTCTGGAGCTTATGTACAGTCCTCTATATCAACTTCATAGGATGCAACAAAAACATTTTTTAAACCGAAAGGACTTCTTCCTAGATTATAACTTGTAAACGAAACAGGGAAAACAAATGTTTGCTGTCTTTGAGCGCAACCAAAACAGAAGTGTCAGGAAGCTTATATTTCATAGCCCCCATGCCAACTGTCCCCATGTCAACTAGCCCCCATGTCATAAGTTGCAGAACCTTCATCATTTTTGAATGAGTGAATCGTTATATGTTCATTTTTTAAATATTGCCAAATACACTTTTCTGATTCGTCCTTTTCTAGAACTGAAATATTGCTGAACAACGTCATACGAACTTTAACAAGTTAAAACTGCACTATATAAATATAAAACTGCACTATAACTATATTCTATGCAAGTAAGAGTAGGTATACTTCAATTTTCGCAAAGTAATAGCAGTTATTACAAAATTGATGAAAGAAAAAACGTAGAAATTATTAATTTTCACTCATGAAACCTTTAACTCTCATAAATCCACTGAAACAGCTCACACTACAAAACTGTTCACTTGAAGAAAACAAATGGCAATATCAGTGTAAGGAAAATAACAATCCGAAATTTCTCTCATACACTCCTCGAAAACATGCTTTGTCTCTAGGTACGACAGTTTCTCTTACTCGAGTTATTCACTACCACGTGGTAAGAAAAAAAGGTAAAGTGAGATGAGCTGGCTATCGAAAAAATTAGATTCACGTTATGTCTATCTATTGCCTAAGGGTATGCAATAGAGATGTAAAAATGATTCTGGACTGTATTCCGCGTGTATACTTGTTTCCAAGGAAATTTGTTCTTTAAAAACATCTTGAAATAAGGTCATGTACAATATTTCAAAAGAATGAGTATTATTCGTGTAATTGTGGGAGAAATATCGGCAATTTTATTTTTTAAACATTTTTTTCTTTAAATTTTCATCCCATACGTATATGATGCTAGTACCCTTTTCGGCGAATCATCCGTTTTCCGAAAAGCAAAGATTAACATGTCAAAACTACAAAATTGAAGATAGAGATTTTTGCCTCAGGCCTCCTATAGTAAAAAATCTGCATTTTAAAATAGATCATGAACAATTTTTTGAAGCAACGAGTAATTTCGCGTAATTTGTTTGTTTGAAATTTATGAAATTTAAATTTTTTTTCTCACGAACCACTTTAAATATTTTCTTCAAACTGTTTCCACGGATAGAAGAAGACACTCTAAAAGAAAGGCGTGGGTCTCATTTTCGTTGAAGTCTGAATTTTGGAAAATTGCAAATTGGGGAATAATGCAAGAAAGTAAGTGCTGATGTAGCACCACTAGTTTCTTAATAAAATCTATTCCTTTGAAACCACATTTTGAAATAATTCCAATGAAAATCTCAGAAATTTCGAAAATTGCGAATACAAATGTTCAAAATTGGTTTTAAAGCATCTGGAAGATTCAGTATCTCTCTGAGACTGGTAGGGAATGAATAACGAAAATTAAATGCTAAACTTAAAAGCCTGAAATGGAATCCCAATAGGTAAGAAATGTTTTGCTAGCTGGAAACCCTTTAGTAACTTCACGTAGTGTTAGTATATATTGCGTGAATAATGTCATATATTGTAAAAATTTAGATCTTTAAAAATCATTTTTTTAAAATATGAATAGTTTCTGCGGAATTTTTGCTTAAAAAAGGCAATAAATATATTTTTCTAAAACGACTCCATATTTTTTTCTTTTAATTTTTTTCTTGATGTAAACAAAGTGTATTCATAAAAATAGAGCAGCACCCATTTTTGTTGAACTCTTTGAATTTTCGAAAATTGCAAACGTTTCCATTTTCTCGGCGATTGAAGACGATTTTGAAACTGAAATTATTTCTTCCTTAATAAAATGTGTTTTTTGATATTAGATATGAAATTATGTCATCGAAAACCCCTTGATTTTTAGAAAATTATGTGACTATTCAACTTTCTTTTCAAAGGAGAAGAAAGGTTACTATTAATCAATTTTTCCCTTAATTAGGGGGAACTAAATAACACACGTCTTGTATTAAAATATAATCACACATTTATTGATGATGATGTTTCGGATCTTAATGCTATCCCATCTTAAGATTATAATAAGAGAAAATTAAAAAGTTATAATGTATTTGGTAACAGAGACAATAAATTAAAAACTACTTCATACGTGATCAATGTAACAACACTTACACACATGTCAACAGGGTATCTCCGATGACGGTTAAGGGGTAACGTGAATGGCGTACTACAACTAAATGCTTGGGTTCGATCCCTGCATGAAAAATAAATTGCTGGTTGGCAACACTTTTGCAAGTTTTTGTAATGTTGCTTTGAGTTACAGGCAATTCCGACCCGACCATGTGCTGTTTTAATACCACTAGTTATTGCCTAATTGAATGGGGGCAGGCCACATTCGCACTTTCTATTGCCAGGAATATATTAGACCTCAAACTACTTATTTATATTTTTATCATTCGGATGGTTCGTATTTTAAAGCATCTCCGACTGTAATATCACATTTTGGCTGATCATATTCTGTACTATGTACTTTCTCTACCGAGTAGCAACAATCTTCCAGGCTAACTTCTCAAACGCCATGTAACTAAATATATGAAACAACGTGGACGTTTCGGTGTAAAATTTATCAAGCAATTTTTATTAAACATCGTTTATAAAATGTGAGATAATACACTATTTCATAATCTTCCATAAATCAACAAACTTTTTAGTGGATAAACCGTCCTTAAACGAGTTTGAATAATTAATAATTTTAACTTCGATAATGAATCTCAAGAATCACAATAGTTGTGGACGTTCACTTAGAAGAGATGATTTGAAACGCACGTGTTTTCAAAGAGATGTCTTCGGCACGGTGTTAGATTTGGATAATTAACAAATCGGGCGAAGTGGCTCAGGGCGTAGCGTGCTGACTTCGCATTCTGGAGGTCTGGGACGGCCCGACAGATTAACCCCCGTGCCGGCCTTCCTGACTGGGATTTTCGTGGTTCCCACTGTCATTCAAGCGAATGCTGGGATGCAAGGCCACGGTGTGGGCTACCCCACCAATGGTGTGGGTTATTTTTACATGGACTTTATGTTTTCAAACAACAATGAAATTTTTATGGACGAAAATGAGCCATGAACCTAAGCGACAATTGTTCGCGATTGGTTGAAGAACATTGTGGACTATTCGAGCGAATGATTTGGCCACCCACATCGCCAACCGACATGAATCCAATCGCACATTTATGGGACGTAATCGAGAGGACAGTTCGTGCACAAACTCCTGTACTGGCAATACTTTCACACTTCTGGACGGCTGTAAAGGCAGCGTGGCGCAATATTTCTGGAGGGGACGTCCAACTCGTTGAGTTCATGCTGCGTCGAGTTGCTACACTTCGCAGGTAAAAGTTCAGACATGATATTAGGAGGTATCCCATGCCTTTTGCCACCTCAATGTAGTATATTGCAATTCAATATTTCACCGCTTTCTATAGAAATCACCACATTAAACATTTTGAAATAGCACAAAATATCGGTAATGGCAGTTGATGTTTTGGAATAATTTCTAAGATCCTTTAGTCATTTTTTTCAGTGGTTTCTCAGTTTCGTGGTATTTGTGAGTGTCCAATTTAGAGCTTTAAGGGTAACGTTTTCATGTATTTTTGTGATGTAGCAGGGAAATGAAAATGAAATGTAAATCATTGTAATAGGTTGAGAAGGTCAAAATAGTCCTTCCCTTCTTTAAAAATCAAACTTGTCAGTTAATGATATCATGGGCAAATCTAATATCCTCCCATTCGTTAACTCTTGTAAAAATAAAGTATAGTTCATACACACTTGTTATTATAAAAAAAACATTCTAAAATAGAAACGACATGTGAACCAAACTTAAAGGAAACAGATTATTTCAACAATATTGAATATTCACTATGTGCTACCTAATATATGGGGTGAAGCATTGAACAAAAAACAATTAGGAAACAATAACAATTATTGCTTTATTTATAAGAAGAGACATGTTACCATTCAGTATGCATGGATATTTTAAAGCAACAGGTAGTTATAAGAATATCCCGATCCTCATTTTTTTCGATATTAAGTGGATAATATTTCTGTACCGATTCTCTGCGGTATTTTAGAGAACTGAGTTTTTTGGAGAGCTTCTAGCACGTCCTAATACGTTTTACAAGACATCTCGTTTTAAAGAACTACTTTGGAATATTGTACAAGTAATGAAGTAATAAGTACAAGTAATAAGTTATCATTAATAATGCATGACATGCAGAATGAATGAAATTTTCTGCTTACGAAACAATGACAATCAAGAATACAGAACGCCGTAAATGTCCATAAATTATCTTAGTATCATACTACACAAATAATTGTACACACAAAGAACAAACAGTTCGAGTCTTAAACAGCACTTGTTCTTCCAATGACATATTTTCATTAGTATGAAATACGTCACACACCCTTGAAATACCCCGTCAACTATGAAGCTACTATGAAGCCATGCTTGCTGACTTCAGTCCATTCAACGGAATATTATCCGTCGCCGCCAACCCAGTTTAACTGAATTCTTCAATGAGGCCCATGATGCTTGTGTACGTTCCAGTGACGAGCCCGATGAGGGAGAAGAACACAAGAATGGTGTTCTTAGTAACCATAATCCAGAAGCTCTTGGTGTCTTGGTGATACCAGAACACAGCTGTCTGAATGATCGCTGGGAAAGCGATTCCTAAAGCGGAGAGACACAGAGCGCCGAACAGCGAGATAAACAATTCCAGATTTGGAACAGCTACTGCCAGCAAAACTGAAAAAGAAACATTGTATATAGCCTCCAATTCTTATGTGGATTAGAATAAAACATAATGAACTTGATTATGTAATGACAATTTCATTTTGTACTTCAAGCTACAAATTGCGTTCAAATGTGTGTCACAGTGCGTTATGCCAGCAAATCTGAGAATATCATTATTGTGGTTTGAAATTAATAGCTGAATTAGAAGACTACAAAATAACTGTAATACTATAAACCACTAAAGCACAAGCCTCTGGTCAAATGTAATACAATATAGGCCATACATAAAGAAGTTTCAAAATTGCCTTCGAACCTCAATCTCAGCTATGCTTCGTCACTTGACAAATCGTATGTGACATTTTGTTCTCATGAAATCGTAAGCGCATTCCCTCCAGGGAGAAAACAATATCAAATGAAAATTGCCTTAAATATCAAACAGCAAGATATACAACACTTCCCATTTTCTGTATAGATCTGGAACGAAGCATAAACAACAATATTGAAATCAGAGGTTTAATAAAAAAAAACAACAAACAAATCGAGACCTCTCGTACAAAGAAGGAATTGAATTGAATTGAAGCCTTATTTACGTGGCGAGACTCAGACCATGAGACCTGCTATTCCGCCTGACCACGCAAATTTCGCTAAACTCCTTTCACCAATTAACGGACAAAGAAGGTACTTCTTGGGCGACGATTTTGAATTCAGCTCAGAGGCTTCATTAAGACTTAAGAATTTTTTATACGCAGTAAATCTACTAACATGGGACAGCCGGCTTTACTTTCCCTCCGAAGGAAGGCGTACAAAGGATTTTTTCGCCTTAAAAATCCACGGCTTCGATCGTATTCCACCCGCGAACATGTGTATAACAGTCCGATACGCTAACCGTTACACCATCGCCGTTACAAAGTACTTAGTATAATATAAATACTGTCAAATGATAATGATGGAACACGCGTCCGGATTGCTGGATACCTCGACGGAAAACATCCATCGACTGACTGTGCGAAAGACTAAGGCATCTCAATGTGCAATTTGTCAAGAACAGCTCACCACAGATTTTACGGGATGCGAAGTAGATCAAACAATAATAGTTATTTATGTATCAAGGCCGAAAAATGAATGATCTTGGATGAGGTTTTTACAAACCGAAGCGGAGCGGAGTTGAGGTTGGTCAACTAACCGAGTCCAAAATTGTTCAATTTCGGTCGAGGACTATTTTTCTTATATTAACTCCCCTGAAATTTTTGAGAGATCTCATTTATACCATGCGGTTTTGTTGTATAGATGCAGATGTTCAACATTATTACCTCTATAGTTGTCAGTACTTTCACAATTGTTAAAGCGTATAGAATTTTCCGTTAGTTTTTTCGAAAGTATGGAGTGCGATATTCCATTGAGAAAGCTGAAGCTGCTACCTAGTGTTTACTTCCTAAAAAATCAAAGGATTTATACAAAAGAGAGTGTAAACTCTTTTTAAAATGGAAAAGAGAGAAACAGGTAAATGAAACAACTATGCTGGCATATCTCTATGAAAAGTAATTACACTTTCATAAGTAAAGCTAATTTAATTGGGAAAGATAACTAACTTTATTTGTACAATAGTCCCACACAGGGAAAGTGTGAACATTATGGAGTAAATATTCAATGTTAAAGTCAACCCTAGATATAAAAGAAAACATAGATGTCGGGCTGTATCACATAGTTAAATCTAGAGTTGAGACTACTTCAATTTCTGTTGAAACTCCTAGCACGAGTGCTGAATGACACGGAAGACGTGACAGTTCCAGATATAATATTTCAGAATATCAAATTGTTTTTAATATCAATGTTAACAATAAGTAAGTTAAAGACACTCTGTATTCGAAAAATAATAAATATTCTTTGCCAATGTGTCGACAGTCATTTGTAGTGTCTTGTTTACTTGACGTTGCCATGGTAATCGTTCTCTAAAATTAATTCTTGGCGTAGACCGTCAAAACTCACCTTTGTGGCGTTTAAGTGCTCTCCCAAATACGGGTTTTGAAGGGATGATATGAAAAAAAATATTTTGGTCCACAGTTCTGCGGTTGCAAAGACCATTGGTATCAATTTTGATTGTTATTTAAATATTTGCACACAAGAAAGTTCTACAACATCACATTTGTTTGTAATTTTATTACTTAACGTCTATTAATTTAGGATAGAGAAGGTATCAACCACAAAGTATTATTAGGATATGCATTTTAATGAACAGAAAACTCAGACATGCACGTGTTTCGGGACAACTTCATCCCATCATCAATCGTTCCAAGTGTCCTGAATTAATAAACGGGGATAGCACAAAATCTCACTTCGGAATATAACTTTTGCCAACTTTGCATGTTAGCGGTGAATGTAAAGTATTTTGGTTATCTAATATATCTGGTTATCTACGTATTATCTGGTATACCACAATGTCTCGATATTACTGGTACTACGATCTCCTCTCGCTTCTCCTAACTTACTGAATTTTGATTAGTCTCAGTTTCGGGAAAGATGTACACATCTGATCAGTGAGATACTTAATTTACACTGGGAAGATGTTTACGATAGTTAAAGATTTTCAAAAATTAACTTTTCAAAACTACAAAATTGAAGATTTTTGTTATAAACAATGTCTGTTTTAATAAATCAGTTTTTTAAGAAAGGTCGTGTACAATATTTTTGTAAAAAAAAGCAAAACAAATAGATTTCGCGTAATTTGTGTCTGAAATGTACGCAATTAAAAATGTATTTCCTCAAAAACCACTCCAAAATTTTTCATTAAATTTTCTTCTCGTATTACTACCCTATGAGCGGTAAAGATATGGCGCTAGTCCCATTTTTGGCAAACCCTGCGCATTTTCGAAAATCTCAAAAAGTTAACATTTCAAAACTACAAGCCCGAGTTCGAAAATCAGTGGGTTTCTATCGCATAGAGGTGTGGTTCACGGCGGATAAAGTCGAATGACCTGGGTTGGAGTCTCAGCGTAGGAACAAATTCCTGATTGAAAATACTTTTGCAGGTTACTGCAGTAGTGTAATATAGCGAAGCAGGTAGAAGTAATGCAAGAAAGTATGTTCTGTTGTATCTCCACTAATTTGTAGTTCTTCAGGGGTAAACATTTGCCATTTGGTATTTTACGCGGTTGGCATTGTTTCGTCGTGTCTGATGCGATGGGAACAGAGCCTTTGTGTTTTGCTTTACCTATGAACGATCGATCGTTCGATCCGGGAGTTTTCTGCTTGCACTTCAGTTTTCTCCTGACCATTTGGTGAGTTTTGTAGCGTGGTTCATGTATTTTCTTTCATAGCTCCAAGCAGCAAGGACCTTTTACTATCGTTGATAGCGTTTTTATGACCAGTTTCCATTGTCGAATAGCTTATCTTAGTGTTTGTGATCCTTTGGGGCGAGTGTATTGTCTTGGTTTTGGCATTTATTTCTCAGTTCTGAAATTTTGTCAGCCCACCAGTCATTGGTTTTCGAATGGAGTTTGTTTTCGGACTCTTTGGCATTAACCAGTCATTGGCCTCCATTATCGTTTTTTCACGCCCCTCAGCAGTGTGTTTCCTGAGTATTCTGTCCAGCAAAGTTTATTTAGAGTTTCTTGTTTCTTCGAGAACTCTTCTAGTGATCTCGGGTCTAATTTGTTCACGTTCCATGAGGGTTTCAGCTTCCTTTCTTATCCTATAGTTTCCTTGCTTTTATTTGGAATACCAAACTATATATGTTTGTGGACACTGAGGCTGAAGTCTCCTAGGCCCGTCCAGTTGTGCAGGGGTCCGGGGGCGTTCTTTCAGGACTTTTCCCCAAATTTATTTCAAGGAATTTCAACTCCATTGTCTCTTTGCTCTCCGCAGTCCCAGCATAGATCAATCCTGTTGGCGCCGTTGCGTCTTTTGGTGCCACCTGTTGCTGTGGCCAACTTTCTGAACGTGGCACGCGCGCAGTGATACGTGCGCAGACGAACCCGCTGGTGCGAAGCGCAGCCAGCGGCCGGGAGCCTCGCTTCCCCTACGTAAGGGGCTGCGCGCGCCAGCCTGGCCGTTCAGTCGGTCGGAGAGTCAGAGGCGGTCAGAGGCTAGTCAGTCCGTCAATCAACACGTCAGCAGCCAGGAGCCAACAGTCCGCCAGGGAGCGGGTGACAGGCGCCTCGCCGCACGGGAAATGGCCGCCAGCTATTGTACATAAAGATTGAGTAAAGTATTGTTAAAGTTGGTGTACAAACTTTCATTTCCTGAACACTTCACCTGTAGCATCTGATCACTTCCTTCCGTTGGCGGCCGGTGCGGAATTCTATTGGTGGTGCCAGTTAGTAAGGAGTTTGTGTACCTTCAAACGTTAAAACAGGCCAAAGCATTATCGATCATAGCGCACGCGCAGTTTAAGTGTAGCATCACTTTCCTGCATCTGCGCATGCGCAGAAGATCGAAATTGCAGTCGATTGCTGCCCGCTAAAGCGTGCACAAACTGCCTAGTGAAGTGACATCGATAAGAAAACATCGATCTAAACCATCAATCAAAAACCATCAATCTTTTAAACATCAACGCGATGTTTCAAAATTGGTTTAGTAATCTCTAAAATAAAATTCGTGCGTAATAAATTTTAATTTTACAGTGACCGTAATTTATAAGGAAGATTAAACTGAAAACAAACTAAAAATAATAAGAACAAATAAAAATTCTCAGCCTGAATGCCTGAGCGCACAGAGGTCACAGCTTTTTGAGCTCGTTAAAGAAAGATCCGGGAAGAAGAGGAGAGGCCTTACGCTCAAGGCGGACGCCGTCCCTCCATGTGCGAAATGCAAGGAAAGTCGTACGAAATACCAGAACATCAAGATCATTATGTGCCAGAAATAGTCTGGGCGATGAAGATAGTGCTATTAGCGCACTCTGTCGAATAGAACGTGAACTACTGTGACACTTCAAAACTGGCCTGTCTCCTCCATAAGAGACGCATATAAATTAACACAGCGTTCTACATTCAGCGTTAAATGGGCATAGACGGCGCTAATCAGTAGGTGGCTAAGAGGTTCAGGAGGAGGCCGACAGATTGTATCACGCACTGTGCGTTTGAAGAGAGTATCGAAGGACTAAACGCTCATTACTAATTACTAAAAAATAATTGAAGAAACGATATTTATACACATATTTGTGGTGAACATTTTATTTTTCTTCCCTTTTCTTGGTGGCACCATGGCACACTGGCACTACCCTACAAGCCGCCACTGCTTCCTGCCGTAGAAATACACTACCATGAACCATATCTATTGCGATTTTCTGCTTCTAAAATGTTATTGTGACCACGTTCTGCGGAAATTTGATCATTGCCGCCTGTAAGCCGGCGTAGCCTTTCTTTAAATGGCAGAACCTTCCGCATCCGGGGAACCTGCTTCTTTGTGAAAGGCTTCATTTTATGTGGCACACTTCATTGGGTCTCTAATGACGATGTTCGACTGCTTAGTTAAGACCGCTACATCCGCTTTACCTGCCAGGGTTTCTTTGAAGATGTTGTGGAATTCTTTTGTAGCTGCTGTTGTAGGGCGAATAGGTATTCACCTTTCTCTTTTCCTCACCAACTTGGAATCATCCCCACCCTCTTTGGGTTTCATCTTTGCGCTGATTTCTTAAAAGAAAACGACATATGAGTTGCCCCTTTCGAGGCCACTTTGAGGCCATCGTTTCTATCTTCTCTCTGCTTTTTTAATTTCTGCCTGACTTCTTGCCAGTCTTCTTCTTGCTCGTTTTTCACAGAGGGATGCTCTTCTTCAGCTTCATTTCTTCCATACGTTGCGGCTTCTTGTGGTGTTGTAGTTGTTTTTGGGTTCACTTTCTTGCCGTTTCTTATCGACGAGTATCGCCTTGCTGCACCCTTGTTCCCGATCTGGTCCAGTATTGATGATCGTACTGCTTTATCTCTAATAGGACCATGGTCTCATTTCGTGTCGCTTTGACAGGTTTGAGAAAATTGCGCACATTGGCACCGATTAAATAAATGAACATCAGTATTTTTGCCGATTTTAGAGAATCGTCCCATCTTGCTCAGGAGATCTATCTGTTTTCTGAGATTACATTTCGCAACAACTACCAAAGTGCTCAAGGTCCCATGGTTCGCTTCGCATTCATTCACTTCACATGGTATCGGGACCAACATTGTTCTATTAGCCATTTCCGCCAGGGTTGCTTGGTCTTCCGCTCCCTTGGGACGTTGGTATCGACAGGGAAGCAACCCCATGACATATGGGCGCTGGAGCCGCAGTAGTTAATCAACCACCACTGGGGATGCTCGTTGTGTGTCAAGGTTCATCCCATGCTCGCTTAGTGCCTAGGTGATTTGCGAGGACATACCTCTCGTCACTGTTGATCAAAATTCACCTGTATCTCCGGGTTTAAGTAGAACCCCACAGCCGCGTTTCTAAATCGTAACCATGTATATCCTACAACCTTAAACTGAGCATTCTCTTTGGTCAGAAATTTCGAGATGTGTTTGGCTTGGTGAACACTACGTGTCACGAGTGAAACAATTTGTTGAGTATTGGCGCGAGTTGGGAGGCTCGACTCAGTCGAGTGTACTCTGCACCACACGCGTTTTTCGATTCACTATTCACTCCAAAAAAATCACGTCAATGTTATTCAAGAAAGTAATCTGCGTGAAACTTAAAGATAACATTATATTGTTAATTATTATTCATGTATTCAAAGAATTGGTTAATGTTCCTTACTGCGGTGATAATCAGAAATATATATATATATATATATATATATATATATATATATATATATATATATATATAACTGACTGGGGTAACAATTAATAAAATAAACGTTTGTTAAATACTTTATCTTTGAATACTTAGAAGAAAGGGTTAAAATAATGTCCCGGGCAATTTATTCCAGTCCGTAATAGAGCTGTCAGTAGAGCAAAAATTTTCAACATCTGTTCTCTGAGCTCTCAACTGTATTTTGAACTTGTGATCCCCTTAACTAAAGTATATGTTGTGCTCTTTTCTTTATTCAGATTTTCCCGTTGTAAATTTCTTTAAGGGTCCCTACAAATCATTCCGTATTCCATTAAGTCAGTCATTTAATACTTCTGACATAAATGAACATTATTCGTACATTCTCTTTCCAAATGTTAAATGAAATATATTCTGCTGAGGAAAGAGGGAGTCGTGACAAGACATCACTCAAATAATCGTTCATTAGTGTTTCATTCAGCTCAGACGGTCGTCGTAGCAACTCCTAGTGCTCCCATTAAATTCTAGGAATACCTACAAGAGTCTGACCATATCTACATCTCTCTCTCTCTCTCTCTCTCTCTCTCTCTCTCTCTCTCTCGCTCACTATCTATCTTTTTTATGAGGCAAACTGTGGAAATCTTTAAAAGACGAAGAAGTGCCCATGCTCCTCAACAGTGTGAGATTTTTACCCAATAAAACCACAAACCCTTTATGTTCGTGCCGTTATCCACCCTAGAACGGTAATTATGCATTACTTCAGGATGGTGCCAGCTGTATTACTTCAAGGTGCTGTACAGGTTCAGCTATGACTGGTTTCTTTCGTCTTCTTCCTTCTTCTTGAGAAAGGCGGTGATGTATCTCTCTATTGCTGTCCACTTCTCCTTGTTACAGATTATTAGAGTAACCATGTTTTCTGATGAGACATTACACCCGACCTCATATATCATGCAATGCCTTAGCGTGTCCCATCTCGGACAATGGAACAGCGTATGTTCGGCGTCGTCCACTTCATGGCTGCAGTAGAATCATACCGCGTCTTCCGTCTTTCTGAATCTATTAAGGTATGCCTTAACATCCGTGCCGTGTTTGCGGCTTATCCATCCATTATTCGGGATGAGCCTATGAGTTCATCTGCCGGTCTCCTCTCTGTTCCAGCGTTTCTGCCAGCGGAGCATTACGATTTCTATAGCTTTCTTAATTGTGCTATCCCTATCTTGGCGCGTTCGGCGTCCGTTGCCTTCTTGCTCATGAGAGAAGTCGTGAACTTCTTTCCTTTCTAGAGCAAGCAGGTCAATATGAGGGACGTTTGCCAGAAGATACAGTTCTAAACGCCGATGTTATGCGTAGAACTCCTTTCCTCTGGACAGACTGCATTTTCTTTCTCAAATTATTGTTTTGAAGATATTCTACCCAGATCGGGGGTGCATAGAGAATTTTCGAGTGTATCACACTCATAAGAAGTCGTCTCTTCTTGTCGCTGGGGCCCCTTATGTTCGGCATCAATCTTGAAAGCGATGCTGCTATTCCTAGGGCTTTTTCCGTCGTCTCGGTAACGTGTGGTCCAAATCTTAGCTTCTTGTCAATTTCCATTCCTAGGTAGCGAAGGCTCTTGCGACATTGCATTTTTTCCTTGCCTATTAGAAATGTTAGGTTAGGATAGGATCGTCTGTCCGTGATGAGTAATGCTTCCGTTTTATGAGCTGCCACTTCCAGCCCTTTGGACGTCAGCCATCTCATCACTCTTCTCAGGGTGTCGTTCACGATGTCCTCTAGTATGGCCGATGTTTCCGCCGTTGCCACTATTATGCTCAGTAGACTGTCGTACATAATATTACATTAGACAGGACCAAGTTTCTATCCTTGTGGGATACCACAGGTCATCTCGATTTCAATAGGTTCTCCTTCGCTTTCGTAAATTGTCTTTCGGTCGCTTAGGTAGCTCCTTATCATACTGGTGGGGTACTCTGGGGTGGTCTTCTCTATCAGAGCCTTGATAATCTCCTCCCATTTGACCGAGTTAAAGGAGTTCCTGATATCGAGCGTTACGAGGGCACATAATTATTTTTAGCTCCCTCTTTGGCTTCTCTGGCCTTTTCTACGATTGTATTGATGGCGTCGTCTGTCGATCTACCTTTTCGAAAGCCAAATTGCATGTGTGACAGACCGTGTGTTTCCTCTAGGCATGTCTGTAGTCTTTGTAGTATCAGGCCCTCGAATACCTTTCCCATCGTGTCTAGTAGGCAGATTGGTCTCGTGTAGTAGGCAGATGTGGGCTCGTGTAGTAGAGCAAGTTCATGCTTTTTCCATACCCTTGGAAAAACGTTTTCCCTCAAGCACCTATTTCATGCTTTCAGACGAAATTGGGGGTGGACATTTGCCACTGTCTTCAGAATTTCGTAGTGTATCCCGTCGAGTGCTGGAGCCTTTATGTTCTTAAGGGCTCTGCATACTTTCTGTAGTTCTTCTTGGTAAACGATTGGCCTTTTGTAATTTTACAGGGCTGGCATTGTCCTATCGAAGGTTTCTGATGCGATGGAAACAAATTTCTTATGATTTTGGTTACCCATGTAGGGTCATCGAATCCGGGAGTTTCCCGCCTGCAATTTAGTTTTGTTGTGACAATTTGGTACGGTTTGCCCCATGGGTCGTTGTCTATCTACCTATCTATCTGTCGGTCTGTCTATTTGTCTATGTATTTATCTATCTATTTATATTTCTATCTATCTATTACTAGATAGAAGCAACATGACATTTTTTGTTTACAGTTCTAATTTAATAATATTGCTGTAAGGAAATCAATCGTGTTTCATAGTATAGTTTTGTGCAGTAGGTTTCATGATACTTACATGTTACAAGAACAAGACTTGTGCGAACCATATACTCCATCAGCAAGATATGCCTTCTCTTCTCCACCAATGGCAATAAGTAGTGATTCCATGAAATATCTACAGCTACGTAACACTGAAGTCCATGGGTGACAAAAATAGCGACTGCCAGCATAATTTTGACGCTCTGGGCCAAACTGAAAGATAAATCAGACAACAATACTGTATATGGAAATTAAAACAATAATGTGGAGAAGGAAACAAGCTTTTAAAAAGTTCACACTGCAATTACAGTTTAAGAAATCATTATATAGGGTTAGGTGTTGTCTCCCTTGGGTTCTTGCAAACTGGGGAATTTGACATTTCAGATGAATAATTAAGAACAGTAAACGAAAAACGTAATAAACATTTATTGAAACGAAGATATAAACAAAATATTGTTTCTGGAATACTAACTTTGAATAACATGTAAATACGAAGAAAACAAGAAATGTAAGAAATATTAGAGAATACAATTCTTAAGTGTGCAAAGATCGGTTTTCAATTTAATTTGACTTACAACTTATTCTCCTTATTCATGTAAACACACAGAATATTAACCTTTATTATATATATCAGAACAAAAATGAGACTAACTTTGTGGCGTTTTAAAATCTTAAAGAATTAAAGGACAAAAAGTTGGTAATGTTAAGCAACTCAGGAATATCAAATGTAGTTGTAGGAGATTTTACGGCACAATTTTCCGAACTAATTCCTAATCCCTTTGAACAAGACAAGCTACCCATCATATTCATCACCTTGCTCTGAGTCACCCTTGATCAAAAATACAATCTGTAAAGATCAAATTCAAAAATTACCAATAGTCCCCCTCAACAGACCCCATGAACATCCCTCCTCATAAAAGAAGCTTATCGTCTAAATCCTCTTCCTTATCTAAAACAACACTCTCTAATGCCGATACTAAAAATCAAGAAAACAATTTGAATCAACAAAAAAAAGAACAGACAGAAATTGTTGAATCAGACCAACATGACAACAATCCTGGAAAAAATCTGGAAGATATGCCCACTCCAACAAAAGCTCTCATTGACAACAGTCCAATTTCTTTTCCCTTAACATACAAACAATTTCAATTATTACTGGAAAATGCCTTGGGCTCAGCTGATCACATTAATATATTTAAAGAGTATTCCAATGACATTCCAGCAATTATTAATATGCTCAAGAAAACACAAGGTATTAACAGACAGGCCCTTAAAGGTAGATTTACTAGACTTATGAAGAAGCTGCGGAAACAGTTAACTGAATCAGACTCGTCTGAGACTGAATCTAGAATGGACAGCACATAATCTTTGTACAAAATCTACATCAGACAGTAATCACTAATTATATATCTACCAATAAATTGCAACTAAAATTATAAAAATTGTGCAATGGAATCTCAATGGATATCGCTGCCACCTAGAAAATTTACAATTACTGTGCAACAATATTAATCCGCTCGTAATATGCCTGCAAGAAACCAATTTTAAATTTAATTATTCAGTCATGTTTAGTAATTATCAGCGCTGATATAAGAATAGAACAAACACTCAATATGCATCTGGTGGCGTTGCTACGAATTCGCATCTAGTGACTGAAGAGATCTACGTTACCGAAGCCATCCATAACAGACAACATGTCATGGTTGTGAACATAGACGTTCAAAAGACTTATGTCAGGGTTGGATTCCCCGAATTATATGGGCTCTCAGGAACATTGGTTTCGGCGGTAATACTCTTCAGTTCATCAAGAATTTTACAAGTAATCGATGTATTCAGGTCCGAGTCAATAATCAGTTGTCGATTCTAATCATGCTAGAAAATTGGCTCCCGCTAGGTTCCACCGTAAGTATAACTCTATTCATAATATCAATTATGGGTGATGGGCAAGGAATTAAGTCATCCACGACCATACGTAAGAATGCAGATGATGTGATCATTCTTAATAAAGGAAATGTACTCCCCTCTACTCAAGAAGCTTTGAACGCGATTCATTGCTGGTCACTAACTTTAGGATTTATTTTCTCCCCAACTAAATCTAAATGCATACTGATATCTAGACGAAAGGTACCTGAAGATTTCCACCTGCAAATTGGGAATGTAACGATAAGCAAGCACAGAGAGCCCACCCCGTTTCATCAAATTAAGGACCTCACCAATGATTGCAAGAGAAGATTGAACATACTAAAATGTTTGAGTCACAATAACTAGGAAGCAGACAAACGTACCTTGCTCCTTACTTACAGAGCAATGATTCGCAGTAAAATAGACTACGGAGGCATATTATATAACAAAACTAATAAACAACTACTCATGAATATGGACCCAATACACAACACTGCGCTCAGGATATTTACCGCTTGATTTCACACTATGCCAAGCGGTGGCATCCTTACAGAAGCTTCAGAACTAAACGTTTATTCTCGTAGGGATTACTTGACCATCAAGTACCTAAGAAAAACCTAGTCATCAAACAATATAATTCTTAATGATATCAACCCATTAATTGAATCTACACTAGCTGAAATTATATCCAAGAACTTTCTACTAAAATTGCAGAGACATTATCAGAATTTATAAAATCCCAAATAAAATTAACCCAGTAGTAAAAATGCAGTCGAATTATTTAAATTGGGTTCTTTTTTATTTTTGTGTTAAGTTTTCTTTCTGTACATATATATTAATTTCTTTTGAAAAAATAAATACTTACATGTTTCTGGAGTGTTTCTATGCTTCTGTAATGCAAAATAGAAAGTATTTTTTCAAACTGACATTTGAGTGCTTATCCATTCGGAATATCCCAGTAGTATATTAGACAAAATATGCTTAAAATTGTCTTAAGAGCTTATCTGCGAAATTTCGACGTTTCCTCCCCGGACCTCCTGTTTACTGAACAGCATTAAAATTCCTCCCAATTATCATATGCCATCAATTCACACCAAACTCATTGAAGTCTGAAAAGAGACCACTAATGCGTGTATTGAGCCGGTGGTCATTCACATTACTAGCAAAATAGAAGCCAGATCCCCAATCAGCAGGTCGATATTAATCATTGATCTACAGGAGAAGAAAAATGAAAACAAAAATGTCGTATTCAACAGAGGACTATCTGAAGCACATCAGTCAATGGAAAAGAGGTGGTCACCTCAATGGACCGATTCTAAAACTAAGCAAAATCCGCAAGGAAATCAACGAATTCTTTGCCGTTAAGAGCTATGAAAAGTTTCCTCGTCGGGAACAGATTATTCTTTCGCGAATTCGTTCGGCCACATTAAATTCTCTCATAGTTATGTACTAAATAAAAAACCAATCCTATTGTGTGATTGTTGCAACAAAATACCGAATATTGACCACATCCTCATGGAATGCCCCGAATATAATTTCTTTAGACGCAAATATTTTGACCCGAAGCATTTAAACTCCGTTTTAACTAACTACACTTTCCGACTCAAGGTAATAAACTTCAGTAAAAAATAGGCATTCTATATTTAATTTAACTGTATATATTGTTATGTATTTTTTGTCCTTGTGCACATACATCTATTCGATTCCGTATGTCTGTAATATATCTTTGTAATAATATTGATAAATACTGTTGTACCCTTGATGATTTAACGAATGTAATAATGTAGAAGTTAAAAAAATATCTATATGTAAGATCATAATTGATGTAAAAGTCTAATAAGCATTGTAATAATTATGTAACTAATGAAGTCGCTAATAGCCTCTGCTTAAAATAAACGAAAAAAATCATTGAAATGGAGTTATATACAACTAATATCTTTGGTAAGGAAGAAAATATTGACAATAACTGAGTGTCACTGGCTGATACAAGAAAAAAGCACACATCCACACTGATAGCTGCCCAGAAAAACAAAAATCCGTTTTATGGAGACGAATGTGTCAAAAAAGAGGTAAATGATTTAAGAAGATATACTGGTATTGAATGTATGACAAAAGTTAACCTTGATGTAAATGTAACCGAAAATAACAAAAAATTAAATAGAATGCAGCTTCCTCAACCACAGAAGTAAATAATTTCGTTGTCGATCTACACTATGAAAATGGGGCAATATAAACTTGTAATTTAAAAACAAATATTTCTATCTATTGATTTTATTACGAAGGGAAGTACTACTGAATATGATGCAGAAAATAAACCATTCACATGTGTTAATACAAAAATAAATAAATGTTTATTTGCTGCAATACAAAATGTAAATGTTACATAAGCCAAATTTTTCTTCATAATTTTCCTTGTAAACGTAATCTAAATAAATCGTTATCTTTGTACTGTATTCAGTAAATGTGTGTATTGCTCTCGTTGACATGCAGAGAAAATATAGTATTGCTTCGAAAATTATGTTATTCGGTATATTTGATGTTATTTAATAGGCAGTTGTGGCTCTGATTGAGCGTTGATTGTTCAACGAGTTAAGTGATTGTTTCTTGTGATATTATGCATTTAATTTGACATTGTAAAATGCGAGTATATTTATTTTATGAAACTTTTGTTTTACAAGTAATACTTAGTCCTCAGTGCCCTCGCGGTTTACCGCATTAGTCAACGAGCTCGCTTCCCATAACGCAAACCCGGGTTCGATTCCCGGACGGGCAAGATTAGAGTGTGCGCTTTCTTTGCAATGTCCCACTATATATTGCTGTGTGAGGATTAGAAAATTCACTTCTATACCAGAATATAGGTGTTGTGGTAAGATATCTTTGGCATTTTTAAAATAATTAAAGATGTTGTCATTGCCAACAATGTTTTTTAATTCAATAGCAGCTTTCGATGGCTTAGCCATCATCATCAGTTGTCTGCTAGATGGAAGCCACAAAACGACTACCAGAATATACCTATACCAGAATACAGTGTTGGGATATCTTCGTACTAACCACACGTACCCCATGACTCCCGAGGCTGGCCGGAACGCTGCTGGTAGACCATGATCCGTACGCGGGCTGTCACGCCAAGGACAGACATATACGAGTACATGTTTTAGTACTACACAACATTTTCTCGAACAAATGTAAAGTGTATGTAAAATTATGTTAGCAAACATTTTTAGCATCACTTTCTGAGTAGAAAATCAAATAAACGAAGACTGCTCCGGAGCCCTTTAAGCATAATTTGCTATTTCATCCATCCAGAAGCTTCAGTCTGTCTCTTGCCTCATTAACTCTCTCCCTCTCCTCCTAGCCAGTGAATTTTTTCTCCAATCTTACACATACCCTTAAACATTATAGAAAACTACCAATGAAAGAAGCACGTGATTGTTGCACTTACATTTCTTCCTCTGGTAAGTCCAATGTAATACTTCCTTGGGCGTGACTTCCATATCGCACGTACCCAAGGAAACCCATTCCAACGTATAGAAAAATTATGACTACCATAGCCACATTCAGGACACCATACCTGCCCACGAACGAACGCGGTTTCTTCATTTGGTTTTCAAGAGGAAGGATCTGCAAATAAAATATGAAAAAAGGTTAGAAACAATTGACAAATCTATGAAATAAATGTTACTTTCTCATATAATAGGCGTGCGCAGCCCAAAATAAGAAGGATATTTCTAGGATCTTGCGATGCTGCCTAGAAATGCGATAGATTGTCGGCATGATACGCGGTTATCATCTGAATTACGGTGCCAATGAAGCATTTTGGATCAACGAACGTGTGTGCCGCACTGTAGTTGTTCATTTCGTACGGGTGTTAGGTAACTGTGCTCCCTACAACAAAAGCATTAATAATGAGAATGACCGCGAACCTAAGTAGCGGAGTTGGTGAGGTCGACACTGCACATCGGTAGAGAGATGTCAAAGAGTGTAATGAGAGGCATCGTCTTAAGAAGGCAGGAGGGACGGACATCGTAGGTCATTCATCTTGTGCCATTCACAGAAACTGGTGAGGAAAACGAAAATGACGAGTTCGACATCAATGTACAGTCGACTCCGGTTAAAGTGAACTTCGGCGGACAAACACTTTTAGTTTACTATATCAGATGTTCACTGTCTCCGATGATGTCAAACTTAAATAGAATTTCTTCACAATGATTTACTTTACTAATATAGAGATACAGCAATGTACATTTACAGCACGAAATGAACACTTCAATATACTTATTAGAGTTTTAAAATTCAATTATTTTCATTTGTTTGCTTCGAACATTTTTCATTAATTTATCTAGGTCCTTTTCCAGAGTTCGTCCTCTCTCTATGCTTGATTCTGCACAAGTATCGTAATGCAGTTTTGACACCCTTCAGTTCCTCTTGCACTGTTGGAACACCGTCCCACAGGCCCTTTTTCTCGCCTAATAACATACGGGAGCCTTCCGGTAGTGGCATGGCATCAGCGGCTAATGTAACTGATCGCTTTTCCGCGTGGAGCAGGGAGTGACATCAGACTGTGGGACCGTGGCAGTCGCACGCTTCCTGTCGCCTACGTAGAACACCACGTCTTCAGCGCGCGGAATCTCAAGTAATATGAAGCTTGAAGCTGAAGCAAACAGTCGCGCCTCACCGCCGCCAGTGTGGCTCACACAGGGCACGGCCTTCGTTTCCGGAGTGGAACTGAGTGGCACAAGGTTATCAGTAAGGTCCGCAGTCTGGGACCGCCACCCCCACCACCACAGACATCTTCGGCTTCGTGACTTTTGGGCGACGATAGTTTTTCCAAGCTGACTCATGTTGGAATTTGAGACATTGAGGCAATATATTTTTTTTTCAAGTAGGGAATTAATTTTCAGGACTTTTCCCTACAGTTACTATAGCCGATGTTAAGAGTTCACTATAACCCAATGGTCTTGGGCTTATTTGTAATGTAGGTGAAAGGGAACCAGTGACTTAAGTTTACTATAACCGAGAGTTCACAATATCAATATTCACAACAGTTCATAGTCAATAGTTCAGAGTTCACAATATTCATTTCACTATAACTAGAGTCGACTGTTTTGTGCGAAATGAGAAATTTCGGCCCTTTTAACCTGCATTGAATTTCAATTAAATTTCAACAGTTAGAAATGTTAATACAGTTAGTTGACTAATTGGTAGCGTACTAGTTTCCCGTGGTGTGGTCCCGGTTCGTTTCCCGGTTGAGGCAAAACTAGAGTTGTAGCTCGCCTTTAAAATCGTCTCGGTTTCTGTAGCCGTGTGACGAAGGCAGACACGTTACCCCGACACCACCAGCATCACGGTTGAACTCACCCTTCCCGACGCTTTGAAAGTATATCACTTACATCGCTCTGAAAATATGACTAAAACTCATTTTAATTTGAAAGTTTGAACGTTTTTTCATTATCTATATCTTTTGCAAGTACTTACCGTGATATTTTTCTGTTTCATCTAACTATAGTTGGGTGCGCACCCAGATATTATTTTAAGAAAGTCAAATTTCAGTTTAGACTTTCCCATAGATTCGTCCAACAAAAATGACAGGTTTTTAAAATGTGACTTTCTTCTTTAAATTCCGTCCGATCGGGCTTAATAGGAATACCCCGTTCTAATATGATGCCGTCAATATGCGGTAATTGTTTTAATAAACTTATGAAATTAGGAAAAAATAAGGATTATTGGGTAGCAAGCCTTCCTTGTCCCCGTTGATAAGTCACTGTCGTAGCTCCAAAGATTTACCGCATTTTTAAACTGACCTTAAGGTGCAATGAATTTGTGTGTAGTAATATGGAATGTGGAATGTGAGGAGTCAGGTGGAGACGTGGTAATTAGGAACGGTTGAATCAGGAGTAGGTTCAGAGGAGATACAGGAATCAAATGACGTGTGAAGTATGGAATTATGGAATATGAGAGAAACGAAGAGTACGTGAGACTGCATAGAGTGTTGATGTGCCGTGGCACCTTGCTACTGATTGCGTTTTTTTATAGTATCAGGTGGCGACCATGCGAATGAAATATTTGGCTGTGAGAAATTCTAGTGTAATAAGTGAGATATTTGTTTCTCTCAGAAGTAGTTTTAGTTGTGGATTTGCATGCTTAAACTCTCTGTAATGTGTTGTACCAGAAGGGCAGAGTGAAGACTACAAACAAATATTTTGAACGGCATATCGTTATTTGTCTTCATGCTGATGCGATATAAAATGCCGCCCAAACACTTCAGTCACGTAACTTCCAATCAGGTTTGAATACGGCTGAAACTGAAAAGCCGGAGAGAAAGAGAGAAGAGAGGAAATAAGGTACCCATTGCTGTCTGCTAAGATTAGTTCCATATTTTAATGACCAGTACGAATATTTTTAGACGGGGTAGGATGCGCATGTTTGCGTGTTGACGTTAGCCCTTGTGTTTCACTGAGCATTTGTATTTGTCGAGTAAAACAAGGTTATAAAGTAATGCTGTGCGGAAATATATTTCATAATATAATATAAAAAGCTAATGCAGTATGTACCAGTTACGTCGTACAGGAATATTTTGGAGATAAAATGTCATCCAAAACATAGTTCGAATGAATATTATTATAATTATTCATGGTAATAGAGTTCATATATTCAACGAGTTCAACGAGTATATTCATCAAATTAAAACATGCCAATTATATTTAAAAAATTACATTTCAATTAACATATTTTAATTAATCTGCTTTTCTTCGAACTAATATTGTTCGTACTCGAATAACAGACAATAAAACACTGTTAAAACACCCAGGAAAATAGTTAACAAAGATCTAATATTTTTTAGTGTACCCAACCGTCTGATTAGTGACGCGTCTTCGAGAGTAACCATAAGAAGAAGATAGACACAGGCGATGTAAATAGACTGTAAAACGTATCGTATGGAACGTCAACAAATTTTAACATTGACAGGATTACAAATAATGATACACATGAAATACTTACACATAAAACAAGAGAAAACCTGATTAACTTTCACTAAATAAAAGTCTATGTATGTTAGTAAAATCTTATATTTTTCAGTGTTATAGAGTCTATCAAATCAGTAAAGTAATACACAACTACTACCCTACTGCAGCAAAAATGCTAGTGAACAAAAAAACAAATTGGTTTTCCAAGGACACTACACCAAATTGAACATTATACCAAAAGCAGTTTTCAAGAAGTATACACAGTATTACATGATAACATAAACATAATACAGTTTATACACGTACAACAGTTCTTTACACATCAAGAATATTTGAAGAACAGTTGGTGTATCATTACGTAACAATTGAATAGCTACTATTTAACGAAGGACAGCCCCCTGGAGCTTGCTTGTACCGAAAGCAGTGATGTAATGAGTATGAGAATTAAATCGGTACTCCCAGTATGAAAATATGCGAAATAACACAAACATTTGCATTTTTCACTCAAAATCGAAACTCATTGTTTTTGGAATTTTCGCGAGTTCCTAGGTATCTATCGTAACCATAGACTATTTTCACAAGTCAAAAATGCATAGTTTTCTTTTAATTTCTGTGCGCATTCGAAATTAGGAATATAAAAATCGTGTGGAAACATTTTGCCGAATTTGTAATGCATTACATATATTTTTGTTCTATATTCCCAACTAAATATTCTGATATACACGTTTTCTACCTTTATAACCTACCTTTCATAAACTCCACAAGATTATCGCTATTTTATATAGATAGAGACGTTCTGATCATAATGTGACAATATTGAGAACAAAGTACAAAGAAGAGAAATAGTCGGTTTTACTTACCACTCCGATGGCTTCCAATGCGAAAAGAACCGTTCCGAAGAAAAGAGGAAACTCTTGCACATGACCAACTGCTCGTCGGTCGGAAGGGTTGAAGGTGTCGTTGAACAGGTAATAAAGCGTAATAGAAAACCCCACGAGGGTCAGCATATTCGCCAGTGTGGAAAACGGCGCCAGAAACTTGAGATTCCGCACCCAGTTCAGCAAGATGAGTGGAACCAGCAGACAGCACATGTAGAGACGTATGTCAATAGGATTATGATATTGGTCCACAACCTGCATCAGACATAGTTAATTAGTATAAACCAAAATACATTATCAAATTAACGAGCAGTTAACTTTCAAATTAAGAAATATATTCGCTTCTGATTTCAAGCAACCATTAGAAAATCAATCTTTCTACCCGCCATACTGTGACACGAAGTTGATTTGTTGGTAATTATGCTGTCAGAGTAAACAATATTTTGGGGTACGTCTCCTGCACCAATTTACCACTCTATAACTGATAATATAAACACAGTAGAACACTCAGTAAAATAGTTATAAAACAATTCACAATAGCCAATATTCATAGTAGACAATTCGCAATAGTAGAGAAAAAACATTTGACACATTCGTTCTTCGAAATATTAAAGCATATGGAAGTTGTACTTCATCTCAGAGTTTTCAGTACCTGTGCTTGGAAGGACAGGTACTTGAGATTATTTGTATTAATTTCTGGAGATAGAACTCTGAAGCGGCCTTCACAATTTGTAGTATTATTCCGTCACTAATATGTTGGTCTTATCTTATGTAACGAAGTGTACACAAAATTACAAATATAAAATATATTACTATCAATTATTTTCTTCCAAGTTTCTGCTTCTTTACATTTCATTCTGGCCGCAGGCTTAGCGTCTGTAAAGTTGCGGGCTTATCTCTTAAACCGCTTCACGAATCATCTCCTCACGCCCCCGGCAAAGTTAAACCTCATATTTAAATTCGTGACTTTTAGCTCTTTGGTTAGTATGATGTTTGCTGATATCGTGGGTTAGTGTGGAGTTTAAAAGAGAAGTCTAAATGTCATTTCATTGCCCACAAAGTAAAGATGTGAGAATAAGCATGCAATGTATATTAGTTTGCGGGTAAGGATATATCGAAATGTTTGATTTTCAAGGAACACAAATAATTCCTGTCGAGAAGTGATAGAAACAATTGCTCAGTATATACACAGCACATCCTCGATAACACGATTGTACGTTTTTCTGCATTACATTCTGCTAATTATATCTCCATTTTCTCTTCTTTACTGTCTTGCCCTAACGAATGTAAGAAGAGCTACACCACGTGTTAGAGGACGTAATTTACTATATACAGAAACAGGATTTAGACTTTTTCGTTACCAGGGCCCGGAAATAAAGAATTTTTTTGGCAAAAATGTACCGTGTTCCGGCGCACGATTACATCAATTTCTTTTTATTTGTAGTAAGTGCGAGAAAGTAAAAATCGATTGAAAACGTCTGTCTGTCCGTGTCTGTCTCTCCATCTATGGTCAACGCTATTGCCTAAACAGTTCAGCCGATTTTCTCCAAAATTCATAAAAGGCGATAATAAGCCGGAAATGTTCTTTGCTAACTCTTCCCTTTCTTGATTAATTTTTGCACTGATTGTAATACCATTAAATAGTATTTTCACTTTCCCTCTTTACTAGAAGTTAACGAACTGCAAAAAAATTTCTTTAGAACTCTGCTGGACATACAACATGACAGTTTTGCCTCCAACGGATCAACATAGATTTCATTTGGTATTGAGTCATGACCAGCTGCTTTTCGTGGATTCAAAATTTTACTTTGTCGCTACAGAGTAGAGAAAGTTACATAATGATGGCAAATGACGACGAATTTTTGGAAGAAATCTCTAAATTATGTTATTGGATAGTGTGAAGGACGTTTAAGAGAACGGTGCAGGTCTCATATTAGTACAAAACCCTGATTTTTCGAAAATTACAAATGTTCAAATTTTTTCGGAGTCTTTCTACAATTAAAATATTAAAAATTGAAAATTTTCCCCTTAATAAAGCGTGTTCCTTAAAAATAGCTTTTCAAATAAGGTCATGTAAATTATTCTAAAATTTTAAGTGCTTTCCGCGTAATTTTGCGCGAATATATGGGCAAGAAAATACTAGTTAATTATACTTAAACCTTAGCCGATCCGGTGGCCGAGATCGTTAAGGCAGTAGTGCCGTGCCGTGCCGGACCGAAGGATCGCGGGTTCGAGTCCCGCCTCGCGCATGGTTGTGTTGTGTTCGTCCTTTCACCCCTTATTCATAATATCATCCTCCATCTCTCATTATCACCTTTCTGAATAACATTCAGAATTGTAACTCGAGGATTTATTCTCACCTCAAGGTGACAAAACACCTTCGACAGTCGACCATGAACTAGTGAAGTGGAACGACTCAAGTGGTCCAATGTGGCCAATCAAATTAATAATAATAATTTAAACCTTCATGAGGGGAAATAAATTTAATGTTTCAGAGTACTGAATAAGTAGGGAATGCTACATATTTCTATTGTAATTAATATTTGTATGAACAATAAGATTTAGAATAAAAAATGTCCAAATGATTTGCTATTAAATTTGACTTTTGTGTGCCTGAATGCTCTAAAGTAAAGGCATTTGTTATGATGAATACATGATAAAATTATTTTGTTAACTTTTTAATTGTGAACCACAGAGGACCACTATTACGATGAATTTGTTGAAAATTGTGATGTTAGTTGTCTAATTCACGTTTATCAATACGTCATTTAATAGTGTGGATCATCATCTCTAAAACTTTAACTCATGTTTCGTCAATCCGTACAGCTTCTGATATAGCATGGTCAATGCATGTTCTAATTCTTAAAATTTTACGGTAGCAGCTGATGTTTAACTAAACACTTCAGCTTTTTATCCTGTGCCATGGTATTTTTAAGCTTCCGTCGACTATTCCTACATCTTACCGCCCATAGTAATGTCTTGCTATGCAAATAAGATAAAAAGGAAACAATATACTAGGATTTAGCTCCCGATTAGATAAAACCTCAACAGCATATTTACTTCAAGCGAACGACTAAATAAATCGTACCATAAAGACTGTTTCGTTTCACACGAACAGTGAATCACGGCTTTGTGCCACACCTGTTGTGGGAAAAAAGGGGTATTTTTCCCATCCGCCTTTTTTAAAGTAATATTTGGTGTAGGCCCTTTGTTTGAACTTCTAGTAAACGGCTTAAATGATACCAAAAGTATATAAGTTGGTGACCAAATATTTACGAGATTGCTACCTTGTGATAAAGCGATATTTCCTTCAATAGACAATAACTTTTATTGCTAAGTTACTGTTAAAGTAGTACTAATTTGAGCCAAACACGATGAAGTAACAATAATTTTCCACCTGTTAGAAAGAAACCAAAAATATTCGGATTTCTGGAGCTCCTCATACCTCATATTTAGTAAGATCTAGTATGATTCCATTGGCGTAACCTAAGGCCCGTAATGTGGGCGGTCCTAGGTAAAACAAGGCATGCTATAATCTGTTAGAAACATGAATTTCTTATGTAGTACTCATAGACTGTTAAATACGAATTTGTTAAACGAAATTTTTTTATTATTAAAGATACTAACACTACTTGTGTTTCCTATACACTTTTATAAAGGGGCCCTGATTTAAGTTTAGCGGTCGGGCCCGCACTCCTTTTGTTACGCTACTGTATGATTCAGGGTGATCTACCAATACTATATAAGAGCTCATCATAGCTCTCTCTCAATTCCCGAACAAGTTTCTCACGCAACCTGTCGTAGTGGAAACGTCGCGGTAACCAGAACGGAAAGCCATCTGAGCAGGCGGTCGTTGGTAATTCGGGCCTGGACAGTCTTCTCAATGATGTTGAAGAAATCCTTATTTTACAGCCTTGGAAAGGCTTCTTTTAAAAACTGACAGAACCAAATGAATGATCAACCGGTTTAGTGTACGTACTTACTAATTAAATTATTTCGCACTCTATTGTTTATTTCACTTGCACGAGTCGATTAAATATCATCACCTTAAAGTTCAAAACGTGCTTTGTCGCTGCCGCCATGACATTCTGTCCTAAGATAATACGTCATGTTGACACATCACGGGTTATCTGTAAGGATCTTTAATGCATTGGTTTCCCGTTGCCTTCTGCATCCTATGCCGTTGGCTACACAGGGCCTCATCCGCCTCTAGGAGATATTTCCCGCTCCAAGGGTAACAAGGTAGCCTTAACCTCTATCCGCTCATCCGCCTTCAGAGGAAGCCGTCGGCACTTGATAGAGGGGGACTCCTTACACCGGGGTCACTCGATCGCCTGAGCCTCTTTAGTTTAAAAACAGGGTCCATCATAAGAAGGCGAGGCTGGGTTTTGGGAAACATATATAGTCCTTGAAGGGAGTCAGATCATTTCCCCTTGGTTAATTAAATACATTTACATTTGTATGATAAATAAGATAATCACAAATTATTCAATTGATTTATAATCAAATTCAAAGAAAACATATTCACATCATCTGTAAGATATTGCTCCACGAAAATGAGCAATAACGAATTGTATGTTAACGGCACCGTTATTTTATTGCACTTCTAGCGGTCCACTGTTTCCTGTCTCATCTTTCAAAAGTCTTCGGTTTCAACAAGAGGTTAGTCATTTCTATATGCTGAGTTAGTGTGTGAAAATGTGTGTGTGTATGTGTGCGCCTGTCGTGTTGGTGTTCGAGCTTGGGCCCGCCGCAAGCCACGAGCGAAATCGAGGATTCCGGAGGCCTTCGACTTGCTGTAGCCTACTGCAGTACCCATATCTCGCGAGCGCACGTACTGCGCAGGCCATGAAGGGTCCAAACGCCAGGGCCTTCCTGCTATGGCGTGGAAGTTCGCAATTAAGAGGGAAGTTCAAGACGCAACGTGGAACGTAGTAATTGTGAATTAAAAAATTATCAATAAGCATGTTATGATGTAATGAGAACTGTTTTTGTTTTTCATTTGTTTGGGTACGCTTCGCCTTGCAGCCTAATAGATTTAAACGGTTGAAAACATTAGAGAACAGTAAATATTCATTAAGGGAATAGGAAATTTAAGTTCTGATTTTGTAACATTAGATTAGTTGCTA